GAAACATTATCATTTGAATTTCCTATTAATACTGCGGATACTAGTGTTGAAGATGATATCAATATGAACTTTGATCCCGAGGATCTTGTTGATATTGTTTTAAATACTGAGTTAGAGATTGAATAATTATCAATTCAATAGCAATAGATATAAATTTAACAAAAAATTGTAATTTTATTATCGTTATCATTCGAATTTTTTAGTTGGCAAAATTACTTTGGCTGATTAACGCGTCAACAACCTGGCACACATTCAAGGATTGCGATCATATTACGTAAATCTCTACTCATACCGATACGTAATTTATCCTTTATTAAATGGTATATAATAGTAGAAAGACGGATATTAATCTATCAACAAATTCAATCATATCCTTGGTTACGTTGAATTCCTTGATGATGTCATAAAAATTTCACAAAAACATTTACTGTTCATAGACAACAATTCATAAAAAAGTTGTCTTATAGACAACAATTCACAATAGTGCTTATATCATGAAAGTCAACGGATAAATAATAATACAATATAACCGGATTTTGTCTTGATAAATGTGAACTGGTTAACGGATTAAAAAATTATCTGTGTTCTCAAGCTTTAATTCATTTTATAGATAATTAATTCACCTACAGTCCATTTCATAGATAATTCATTCATTTCACATACAAGTTATTTTTTTTATAGCTTTAAACATAATTCTATCCGATTCCTATCAATGATTATAATTACATTATTGGTGAAATGAGCTGTAGTGATCGGGCTGGAAATTTTTATCTATTATAAATGTAGTATAATAATAAAAATTTTAAATTGTTCATAAAAAAATTTAGATTTCTCCGCTACAGCGAGGGATCCATTATAAAAAAAAATCCGTTATAACGTGTGTAGACAGTACATAAACTTGTTTGTGAATGGTCTGTGAAATATGGTATCAACAGCTCTAGCATGCCCATAAAAAAATACCGCTGACGTCACAATAAATGAAATTAATTCATTTTCAAGTTATTGAAAATATTTTCTTTGCTACGAAATAAAATAAATTTAAACAACGTTAGTTTCTTAGAAATTGCAACTGGCTAATAAAAAAGTAGTGTGTTAATGTTTCTTTTATAAAAAAATATATTGTGCGACTTTGGTCTGAATCAGAAAAAATTAAATAGCCATCAATCTACGATGCACACCACTCTGGTACACATTATCTCAGTAATTATTTGCGGAAAGTAGGTAAAATTACATAAAACTCTGGAGTTTTATTACAGACTATCACATGTACGTCTATACGATGTAATGCTTTTGGGTAAACCTTTAGTTACTTTGTTCAGTCGCCCTGGTCGATTCGTCGATTCGTCCAGCTTTATGACAAAACTTTAATCCATTATTCTTATATTTGAATATTAAGTTTGAAGATTAAATATTAGGAAAACTTTTGCTCATGCGCAGAAGGCTACAATGACAAACTTGTGATTGAGATTACTAAAATTTTGATCAACAAGTGAAATTTTTTTAAGACAAACGGAGAATGCAAAAAATTTTTTTTTGTTTGCAGTAAATTAATAGCGGATGTACAGTAGGTTATTGTAATAAACTAACCTTTTTTTTTTTCTAATTTTGTTTTTAAAGTACGTATTATTTATATGTCACCGCAGAATCTGCAAAATTTTGTAGCACTAATTTGGGATTTGCTAAAGTCATATTGTGCAATTTATGTTTTTGATAATCTAAAATACTATTTGTATATAAATGATCAAAAAGGGTAATTATAAACGCATCAAAAATGTAACTTTTGGTTGACCTGCCTTATGATCCTAAATTAGGTAATACGTAATTAATTTTTATTTACGATCCACAATATATGCAACACAAAGTGAATCGATTAAAATCTTAATATTGTGTTGATGATAGCATATTGTTTGATATAACTATTGTCAACTGTAATTTACGAAAATGCATTGTTTCTTGACTGTATTGAAAGTCGTGTTTGTTTCATCACTTACGTTTACTTATTTCCACCTTCGTTTCTGTTAGCTCTTTTTAAAAAATCGATTTGCTTTTAACTGTTTTATGCGTGGTTCGCATATAGAAATTCTTGTCGTGCTGTGATCTTATTCTTAATATTATAAGTATTTTACCTTGATGGTTAAAATACATGTCATAATATCTTCATCACAAATTACATATATAATATTATAAAAAATAAATATAACAAATATGGAAGAAAAGTATCCTTATAGGTACAAAAGTCAAATAGAACATCTAACAAGAGATTCAACTTTCTCTAATATTAGTTCAAATACATTGGTCGATGAAGCTGCTACTTTTCATAAAGAAACTAGTGGGAAAATAACTTCAACAATATCTACTATATCATCGGACACAACTGCCAATTTTCAACCTCGTCAACATGTTACTTTCGGCAGATCCGAAAAACTAATTGATGAGAAAAATAATTTACAACATCAGAATAATCCGATAATATGCATAAACGACACACCGACTTCGAATAACGACGAACCGCAAATATGTATGGATCGAAAAAAATCGAATTATACTCCAGTTCAAAAACCCCCACTTGCCACTACCCAAACTTCTTTTTTCCACATTTTTCGCTTCGCATCACCATTCGATTTCTTTCTTATGGGGTTTGCCATTTTTTTCAGTCTGTTACGAGGTTTGATAATTCCATTAATGA